AAAATGATTGGAATGTTTTGAGATAATTTTGTATCCAAGCATCCTCTATATATATATTTTTTTTTTCTAAATATTTTTTTATATACAAAATAAAAATTATGTAAATATATTGATGTAAAAAATATTTATTGTGAGATATAATTTTTTAACACTTGTACAAATTTATATGCAAAACATTTATTTTTGTTACATTAATGTTTATTTATATGTAAAAAATACTATATATATAATTTAAAAATTTTTAAAATTAATTATCCGGTTCAACAATTGATCCGATGACCCGGCGGTTGAACTGGTGACCCAATGACCCGGAGACCTGCCTGGGTCGATTTCCGGGCCGAGTTTAAAAACTATGGTATAAGTCACAATTTTTGGTACTTCGTAATTTTATAAGTTGATTTTTTATTTTTATAATTTTATGTGTCGAATTTTAGTGCTAATGTAGTTTAGACTTTTTTATTCATGTCTAACTTTTCAATTATAAAGTATTTGATTAATTTAAATTGTATATTTTTAACCTAATTGTTGTTAATTTTTTATAATATATCAATCAAATTATGCATTTCATTAATTTAAATTATATATTTTAACCTAATTGTTATTAACTTTTTATACATAATATATCAAATTTATTATCTCTTGACGATTACACATTAAAACATATCTACATTCATAAATAAAAATTAAATAAGGAAGCATAGTTATAAAACAATAAAATGAATAAATGTAGCTTGGACAAGACATATACAAATCCCTCCTAAATTTGCTTCTACGGTTTTTTTTAGATTTTTAACTAAAGTATTTTTGTGGTAAAATGCAACATGAACTACATATTTATAATTAATTGCACGCTCGACTACTTTTTGATCGTCCGATCATCTGCAAAAAATGACACGTGGTTAAAATGTGGTCGAACATGTATATAGTGACTGTATATGTAGTTCAGGTTGCATTTTACAACAACAACAAAAAAAAAATTATGTTGAAAATCCCGAAAACACCTATAGTATATATTGGAAAAAATTATTTACCATATCTTAAAATCAAAATAACCACGTAAAAAGGGATCAAAATCAAATTGCGTGAATGTGTACAAAAAATGGGACTATAAGCCCGGGAAATTAGATTTCGGAAAAATTCGAAACAATGGCGCCATTCCAAATTGTCTTCCGCCACTGCGTGTGAATAATACATCGCCGGCGTCCCAAAATGTCTCTGGCTACAGGGAAATGTCGCGCCCGGAGCTACACAATATGGATTCCATGGTAAAGAAAAAAAATAAAAAAAAAATCGAGTTCATTTATAATCATCCGAAGCTCCGAAGCTTTAATGTTCTCAGGCGAATGTATGTTCTTGTGTTTTCTTGTCTCGCAGGGTTCGGATCCTCCAGATCCAGATTCAGTGCTTTCAGGTTGTCTTCTAAAATCCCTACTTTTTCGTTTGCCCAGTTCCTGTTTGATGAAATGACGAAAAGAGTTTTTTTCACTATCTGTTTCGAACTCGTGTGAATGCTTTGCCATTGGTAAATTTGAAGTTCTTTTTGGTGTATTTGCCTTTTTGGTTTCCATCGTGCAGAACCTCCAGATATCAGAAACTGGTTTACAAGCTACGTATATGACTCCCCCGAGCTGAATACATTGGATGGGTTGCAAGATTTTCATGGGCCTAGAGAAACTTGCCTCGAGGAAGGAAAGAAAGGGAAATCCGGAGAAAATTCAGTGTCAGTTGAATCAACTGATGGCTTGGTTTCTGCAGGCAGGGAGCTGTTGGGTAAAGCTATCGATTGTGGAAAATCGGATGAACTCGAACACGTCAAATTAGCTGCGACGGTAATCTTACAAATTTATTTTGAGTGTCGTCATAAAACTGGAAATGCAAAGAGATACTGAAATTTGGTTGATTCAATCTAGCCAATAGTTGTTGCGGATTTTGACTATTTCGTCAATAAAAAGTTGATTCTGGTACTTTTGTTTGAGGAGGTTCTGCAATAGGGTTATTCTAATGTGTCATATTTAACATCTGATTTTGTTCTGTTGGCTCTTCTCATATGGTGGGCTGACACAGAATGAATATGATGATTTACACAACAATGATATGGAGACTGGTCAAGGCACTCCTTTGATTATAGGAATCAAAGCTCTTTACCTTTCCCATGATCTTTTGACAGGCGGAAAATATCGATAATACAGGAAAAATGCTAAAGCTTGCTGGTCCAATAATCAAATATATCCTATTTTTTTCATAGCATTTAGGAGGACATAACTCAAAGCAATTGACATTACAATTAAATGCTAATCATTCCATATATTACTCATTGTGGTGAATGTTTGTTGTAGGTTGCAGGATCATCAGAATCGCTGTCGTTTTCTTCAGGTATGCTAGACAATGGGTCCTTGAAGTTTTTAATATGGTTGAACATTGTATATTAGTAAAGGGTTGATTAAACTATCCTTTTTAAGAATCACAAGAATTTCCATCTTGCGAGTCATTCCAGATTTAAACTAAGTTGCCTGACAACTTCTAAAAAGTTGTATCTTCTTTATTTGTACCTTCAGAGCCTCCTGACATTAAGAACTGGTTCTCGAGCTATTTCTATGAGTCGTCACCGCTGGACACAACTCGTGATTTTACAGTATCTGATTATAAAGTGAAGGAAGATGGTGAAGTATATAATGCTCAAAGGAACCCCAAAAATGATAACTGTGGTGTTCTGGACTTCATTGATGTTAAAGGAAGTATAGAGCTGCCCAATCAAAGTAGAGCCTCATGTGTGGTTGTCAAATGCACCAATTTGGTCGAAGATTGCAAAGTGGACTATAAACCACTTGACAAGGTATTATCCCATCCCCAACGTTTGTGTCTGCTGTGTCTTTTATGATTGCCGTCAGCTGTGAGTGCTATCAACTTATATCTCCTTTTGCATGGCCACGTTTATATGTGGTTGTATTTGCTCTAAGTCAAGATTTGGATAATGGTACCATCTATTTTCTCAGGCTCAAATCTTACAATTAATAAAAGTGGTGGTTTAGTATCAAAATTGTGAGAATAGCTCGACACTCTTTAGGTAGTAGATTGAAACCTGGTGCCTAGGCGGGTTTGGCTGGATTTATGTAATGCTAGATGGAACATAGTCAAATAAAAAATGTAGAAGGACATAAGACGCCTCTATTATCTTAATGAGATATAACTAAAATTACTATAAAGACCTACAACAAATATAATACAAGAATTACTGTCAAATAACTCCATAATAATCGTTTTCTCAGGCTCAAATTTTACGATTAAGAGAGGAAGTGGTTTAGTTTATTTGTATGTTTCCCAAATTTTCATGCTTGAATGATGTTGGAAATTAGTTGTGAAGTCAGAATTCTTGGAGTATGTACAACTTTTATCTAGTAAGGCATTAGTATAGCTGTAAATAGTTCTCTCTTTCGTTTTCCTATTCCTTAATTCAAGCTAGGTTGATTATTTTTATCTGTAATATGTGAGTCTCTTCCTGTCTTTACCATTTTTCATAGCTCTGTATTAACATAAGTGTTTTTTTTTCTTTCCCTTTGCTATTACATGGCTACAGTATTCCTCCTTCTGTCTTTATTCGCTAACATTGACATTCATAATTAAGGCGTTCAATGGAACCATTCTTAGTGTTTGATGTTTTTTTTTTTGGGTTTCGCTACGTCAGCTTTTTATGAACTAACCAAGCACAACTTAATTGCACTTAAAGTTTAGTTCAACAGATCCCAAACTTTGAGTTTTGTCGCCCGTGCATGATGTCGATTTGAATGATGACCGACCGTGTCCTGAAGACTACCCATGATTGGATCTTTGAGTTTTTTCAGAAAAAATTCCCACCCCTCAAACACTCCCCAATTCAGAAAAACATGCACTACAGAATGGTTTAATTTTTGTCTTTTAGGAGTCTTGTGAATTTTAGCAATTGAACCTCATATTTACCAATGTTATCAAAA